CATGGGGCACCTGAACCTCTGCGCGCTGCGACGCGGCCCCCCTGGCACGGGCGGCGAGGGCGGCCCTGGCCGCGCCGACGCCGTTTCGAATGCAAGCGCTGGGGCTGGCGAGCGCTCTGGAGATCGGCTCCGCGCTTCACCGCAGCGCGCAGAGGAAGGTCCCGCGGCGCACAGGCGGTCGAGCTCCGCCAGGAGGGTGCTGGCAGGAGCTGCAGGTTCGCGATGTCCCGCAGCTGAGCCCCGACGAGATCCCGGCGGGCCTCGAGCCCTTGCTCCGCCAGCACACTGGCCGCGCGCGCGACATCGGGAAGAGCGCCTGCGCGCCGCTGGGCGCGCACGCCGCGGGCGCGCCAGCCGAGCAACCTTTTATTCCGCACTGGCGTAAGTCGCGAGCGAGGCGAACCGATGCTACATTCCCTGCGCGGCGAAAAAGCCGACCCGCGCCCGCGCGCGCCGCGCGCCAGGACAAAAACGTCACGCGCAGCTTAATATGCCATTATCCGCGTCGCGCCCAGGGGGCGGCCCTGGGGGTGGTCGCGCCAACGCGGCCATCCACGCGAGTCGACGGCGCTCTGCGCCGGCGCCCGCCCAATCGCTCCAGCCGGCGGTTTCGCCGCCACAACCCTGCAGATGCATGAAAGAACAGCAGCCGTGCCGAACGCGTGACGCCGCGGCTTCGGCCGCCGTCGCATCGCTGAAACGAATGGGGAAAATGCGGCAAAAAACCGCTTGCGAGCTGCATATTGCGCAATGCCGGCCGACGTGGCAGCCGGTTACACTGGCGCGCGCGCGTGCCCCGCGGTGCGCGCGCGCCTAGGCGGTCGCACTATCATGAACTGCGCACGGGCGGCGGCCCACAGCGGAGGGCCACCGCGAGTTGTGCGCGGACCCTCTTCCCCCCCCAGCCGCGAGAGCAACTCCCGCTCCTCGCGGCTGGGATGGTCGGCGTGGTTCCTTGCCGACTCCACGCGCTCGATCCACGCGTAGACCTGCCGCGGAAGCGCGGCCGCGCGCGCGCGCCTGGCGGCGCGCGATTGCAGCGTTGCCTGGAGCGCCACTACCGCCGACCAGAATTGGTGCACGAGATAGTTGTGGTCGCATGAGTTTGCGGCGCCTCTCCTGAAAGTGCATTCTGCGACGCTGTTGTCTGGGAAGAAGACCACGCGGCGGCTGGCGAGCGCGCGTGCCCACGTGGACAGCGCCGCGCACTGCGCCAGCATCTCGAAAGCCGCAATCTGCTGATCGCTGCGGGAGCTCAATCCGCTGCACCAAACGCATTGCGCCCGACGCGCGCGCGCCGCGGACCGTCGCGCGGAGACCTGAGAAATTCTTCTGGCGGTGCCATTTAGGCCCGCTCGGACGTGTCGTCTGTTAGAAGAGTTGCCGCGAGTCGCGCCGGGCTGCCGCGGGCGTCCGCCAACGCGAGCACCGGCGGGCGCGCGCCTCGGCATCGCCAGGGCCGCGCGCGGGCGATGTCCCGTGCCGGCACGTCTCGCCACCAGCGCAGCGCATCGCTCGCGTGTTCCGCGAGGCGGGGCAAGGAACCGCATGCCTGGTCGAAGAGCGGTCGCACCATCGATCGCCCCGCGCGTTCGAATACGTGGCAGCATGCCCACGACAGGCGACCCGCCATCTTCGACGCCTCGCCGGCCGCGAGCGCGCCCGACCGCAAGGCGCCGTCGATGACGGCAACCCACTGCTTTGCTTTATCGTCGTCGGGTTTGACGTGGAAGCCCGATGCCGGCGACTGGACGCGCAGCCCCAGGATCACGATCGACGGGCCCCACGCCATCTTGCGCTCCTGCGTGGTGCTGGGCCCGAGGAGAGCGCGTACCAGCCTCGCGAAGCACTTGTCGGCGTGCTCCGCGAGACCCTTCCTCTCAACCGAGAAGAAGTCGTCAACGTTGCGCAGCGCCGGGAGCCACAGCAGCTTGCTGGCCGCGGCCGCCAGGAAAGCGCCCGCGCGCTCCCAACCGCGCGCGCAGGCCAGGCCCCCGAATGGCAGCGTGATGTGCTGGGCGGCCATGGCGCGCCCGCGCAGGCGGTACGTCACCCAGGCGACAGCGCGATGCCCAGGCTGGATCGGCACCCGCCTGAAGGCCGAGTCCACGTCCGCCTTCCAAATTCGAACTCAACCGAAACCTGCGCGCGCAAACGGGAGTGACGCGCCGCTGCGGGCTGGATTGCGCGGCGCGGCGCGCAAGCCAAGCGGCGGCGCGGCGACTGCTCGCGCCTGCGTCCGCCGCGCGTGCCTGGGGCCAGCGAATGTGTGCACTGGAACCAAGGGCCGATTTCGTTCCATACCCTCTACACACTACTCACTCCTCACTACTCACCATTCCTTGCTCACTACTTCCTTCCCACTACTCACTGCCCACTACTCACTACTCACTACTCAATAATCTCTACGCCTACCCACTACTCACTACTCACTACTCACCACTCACGACTCACTGCGCACTACTCACTATCAAACACCAACGCTCCACTCTCTACTCACTACCCGAAAGGCCCCCTCCCCAGCCCCCAGTTCGGCGCTAAGGGGGGGGGGGTCGAACCCCCCCCCCGCTTCCAGCGCCTAGGGGGGGAGGGGGGGGGGTCGAAAATCTCACCCCGCCTTTGAATGGGGGGAAAGGGGGGGGGTTCTGCGAACACACACACCCTTTAGTGTATTCAGGGCCATCCACTGGCGCGCTTTCAGAAAGAAGAGGAGGAGAATCTCTGAGGTGGTAGGGGGAAGAGGAGTGAGGAAAGATGAAACGAGACGGAGCACTCATGCTGCTCGTGGGGGGGAAGACGAGAAAAGAAGAAGCAGTAGGAAGGAGGAGGGGGGGAGGAGGCGGGCGACGAGGAGGGAGGACGATGGAGAAGAAGTGGATGAGGGAGGCATTCCCAAATTGTTTTTGGGTCTTAGCTCGGCTCTCCGGCGGCCGTTCGAGGCGCAGCTGATGGAGAGCGTTCCGAGGATGCCAAGCCGCCAAGAATTGAACGAACACTGCCGAGAAACTCGAACCTCGAACCCCGAAACTTCGAATCTCGAGCCTAGGAGGGAAGAGGGCGAGGAGGAGGAGGAGGAGGCGAGGAGGAGGAGGGCGAGGAGGGCGAGGAGGAGGGAGGAGGGAGAGGAGGAGGAGGGAGGGAGGAGGAGGAGGGGCGAGGAGGAAGAGGAGAGCCTGGGAGGGAGGAGGGCGAGGAGGCGGAGGAGGAGGCGGAGGAGGCGGAGGCAGAGGGGCGGGCGGGCGAGGGCGGCGCGGCCGCCGCCGCGGTGGCCGCCCCGCCCGCGGGGGCCGATCCGCGCAACGCCCGGGCGGCGGCCGCGCAGAGCAGCGCGCCTCGCCGGGCGCGGCGCGGCGCGGCGCCGGCGGCCAGGGCGACGCCGAGGCCGACGCCGCCGACGCCGACGACGAAGACGACGACAACGACGCAGACGACGCCGACGACGACGACGTCGACGACGCCGACGCCGACGGCGAAGACGACGAGGACGAGGACGACGACGCCGACGACGAAGACGACGAAGACGACGACGACGACGACGACGACGACGACGACGACGACGACGGCGACGACGACGGCGGCGGCGGCGACGACGACGACGACGACGACGACGCGACGACGGGCGGCCGAATCTGGATGGTTATCCGGCACCCCGCAATGACCTTGCATAGGCCTTCGACGGGGATTGCGGGCGGGGGGGGAATTATAGTTGTGCGGAGTGCGATGGCCCAACTATCAATGCAATGCAAACTGATTGCGGGTGCGCGGACCCTACGCTACGCAGACCACCCCGCCATCACTCGTGTTGTCCAGTGCGTGCTGTCACGCGCTCTGGCGCACCTGACGCACTCTGCGCGCGTCGCGCAGCTGGCGCACCTGGCGCGGCTGGAGGATGTTGCACACGTGGCGCACGCAGAGCACGTGGCGCATCTGGCGCACCAAGCGCGCCTGGCACGCTGGGGCACTTGGGGCACCAAGCGCGCCTCGTGTGCGTGGCGCACCCGTCACGTGTGCGGCACCCCGCGAGCGCCGCGCACCTCTAAGGTCTGTATTGGTTCTCAGTGGTTGTCCGCACGACTGCCTCGAGAGAGCCCAAAGGAGGACCCCGGAGAGCCCCAAAGGCATCCAACGTGGCCCGAGAAGGCCCCAATGTGACCCAAATGTGTTTCCAAAAGATCCACTATCGAAAGATCCGCGAGGGCATGTATGGTTGACTGATGGGCCTGCTGGGGCTGATCCCGAGCTTCGGTGTGACGACTGCCTCCCTTGTTCCACTGGTTGTTCCTTAATCTTCTGATCAAGGCAACTCGTGTGGGCATCTTTTGAGGATGGGCTGGTTGGGATCTCGAAGCGTCGATAACCATCACAACAAGTATCAACGCAACCAATATCGCCGCAACCACCGTGACAACAATCAACTTCATCATCCTCATCGCCGTCGTCATCATTGCCGCCATCATCGCCACCATCGCCGTCGACACCAACAACACCTAGAGAACGACTCCGTTCTGATCCAACTCAAGACGGCGACGCAGGCTAGTTTGACAAGAGACTTCACTGCGCCACCCGGTAAATTGAACTCCGAAAGCTTCCCGCAACAGTTTGACATCTATCCGGAGGTAGAAACCTCGATCCGAGGTATTCATTGCAACTGAAAGTGGTCTGTGGGTGGCCTGGTAGTGCTTTTGGTCCCGCTTCATCTCTCTCTCTCTCTCTCGCTCTCTCTCGCTTTCTTGTTTCTCTCACTCTCTCTCTTTCTCTCTCTCCCTCCCTTTTTTGTTCTCTCTCTCTCTCGCTCTCTATCTCTCTCTATGTATCTCATAAAGCTAACGTGACTGCCTCTTCCTTCAATGGACTGGGAGGAGAAAGACATCCCATCGACCCCGAACAGAACCCGACATAAGAACCCCGGCCAATCTCTGGGTTCTCCTGCACACTCCAGATAATACTGCGACGGCAACATATCAGAGAACAGTCAGCTTATATTCTTCCAGCCGGATCACTTGCGGCGCACGTTGGCAAAGTTGGCACCGCACGTGCTCACCATGACCGTGGCACCCCGCATCTTTCCCCACGTGTAGCTGCAAAACCTCCGGTCGACGTCTGCCATGCCGCATGAAGAAAATGAGGCCACGCGGTAATGTAGGCGTTCTGTGCGATCACCACGGGCACTATAATATGTCCCTGCATAGCCCTAGCTGGGCTGAACAAGACGGTTCATCAACTCCTGGCTACAACTGTCACGTCTTCCATGACGAACTCCACGTTGTGACCGGCAAAGAATCTGCCAGATTCGAAAGACCCAGAGACTGATAGCGTGACCTTCTGAAGTGTGACCTTAGCATCCTCGAAGTACAGAACAGTATATTGCCTCCTTCTTCGCGGAGGTGACGCTCGCAGAATAATGTTCCGAAGTGTGATGCCAGGATTTCTAACGTCATTACCCTGGATGCAGTGGGTGGTGCCGCTGGCCTCCCCAGCAATGGAACATCCTCCACACCCCCGGTGGGGCCTCCAGGCAGTGAGCTGTCACGTTGCGTTCGCTCAGATGCTGTCGTCACGTGGCGGGTTCCGCAAACCCTGCAATTCCCCAGAAGCACACGTCTTGGGAAGGCAACTGTTACCTCCGCTGGCTTCCACTGGCGGAGCCGCCCCGTCTTGCTTCCGCCGCCGTCCACCCGCCTTCCGACGAGCAAATGGTACAGCGCGGGCGCGGTCGCAAGAAACCCTCGCAAGACACCCAACCCTGGAAACCCGCGCGCGAGGTGCGCCTGAGGGGAAAGCCCGAGCATCCTGAACGAATCAGCTTCTTTGACGGCCGCGGGAAGTCACCGCGCAGCGCGTGGAACGGAGAAACCCAGGGTACCCTGACGAAGCTCATATGGCTTCTTGAGGTGCGCCCCCACTGTACCAAAGCCTTCGATCCTCGAAGGGAAGGCCCTGTTCTGGAGCGCGCCGTGCAGGAGACTGGTTGCAGTAGCTGTGCCTGCCCACCCTCCGTGAGTCTCCCCGCGGTCCCCCAAACCCTCCCGTCACCACCCCCTGGGCGAGGGGGGTCAGGATCCATGGCTCCCCACGAATCCGTGCAAAGCCTTTTCGGGCACAACGGGAGGCGCTGCTGCTGGAGTCGCGTGCCGTTGTTGCTGCTGCGTGCTGTCGTTTGCGGATGGTTGCCGCTGCTTGGTGGTGTCCGGTTATGATTTCTACTGGGGGCCGCTGGCGCTTGCTCTTGGCGACTGTGTTGGTCTCTCTTGCTGGCTTCTCGTGCGCTGTTTCAGCTTGTTGGGGCCTGTTGGGCAATCTCCAAACTCTCTGCGCGCCATTCGGGGGCCCTCTTAGCGTGTCAGACGGCCCTCTTAGGGCGTTCGTGGTGGCCTCTTCGAAGTTCTGTCGGAGGCCTCTTGGAGCCCCCTTGGGGCTTCTTCAACCGTCTGGGGGCGTCGTGGGGCCCTTTCGGCGCTTTTTGGGGCCGTCTTCGAGCAGTCTTGGGCCGTCTTGAGCCTCTCTTGCCCCCCCAAAAGAATCCATCATGGACCGTCGTGCGGTCGTTTGGGCCGATTCAGGCGCCGCTTTTTGGGGACCACTTCGGCCGCCTTGGAGCCCAGCTTAGGCCTCTGAGAGACATGTTGAGCCGAATGTCATAAGCTGCACGTGTTCAAACACCTAACGGGTTAGACTGATGCTGCTGTCCCGGGCCCCTGCGCCTGTTGGTACCTCCCTCTCAGAAGCCGTCTCAAAGCTCGATCAGGGCCATTGAGGGCTGCTTGTGCAAGGCCTCCTGGGCGCTGTCTTGGCGCTTCCCAGGTGCTCACTGGGCCGCATTGGCACGTGCTGGGGCCCGTTGAGGGCTCTCTTGGGCAAACTTGGCGCATTCTTGACCATCCCGGAACTCTCGTGGGCCGCTTGGGGCCTCTATGGAAGCCCTCTTGGGCTCTTGGGCCATCTTTGGGGCTCTTCTTGCGCCCCTGCTGGCCCGTCCCGCAGGGCCTCTTTGGGCGCCCGTGGGCCGGCTTTGGCACCATAGGAAACGATCCCGAAGACATCTGAAACAGACCAGCCCGTGAAGCAGCAAGCATTGGACACCAACTTGGTTTGAAACCCGCCAGCCCTTTGGGACGCGATTGGTTTAGAGCGCGTCCGCTTCCAGCCCCCCTTATCCCATGTCGGGGGAGGCCTTGTCACTGCTCCCGATTAAGAAACACCCCCTCCCCCACACGACCGGCAGCCAACCCAAACCCATGCCACCTCCCCACACAATCCTTGTCAAAAGCCATACAAGATACATTTTGCCTCCAAATCTGGAGCATGCGCGGGTGCCCCGCGACCGCTCCGCATTGGCTTTTGCTTGCTGCGCGCAAGCCAACCATCCATGTCAACAGAAAACCATGTAAAGAACACTTTGCCTCCGCATCTGGAGCATGCGCGGACGCCCCGCGACCACTTCGTGTTGGTTTTGACAGGGACGGGGGTGGGGTAGTCATATTGCTTGCTGCGCACACGCCGAACACTGTTGTAAACAACATGCATCTAACAGAAATGCACTCTGCCTCTAAATCTGGAGCATGCGCGGGTGCCCCGCGACCACGCTGCAATGGTTTTTGACAGGGACGACGGAGGGGGGCTCATATTACTTGCTACGCGCAGGTCAACCATCCCTGTCAAATAACCGTGCAGAAGACATTCTGCGTCTAAATATGGAACATGCGTGGGCGTCCCGCGACCACTCTGCATTGGTTTTTGACGGTGCTACTTGTGTGGGGAGGGCGGGTGGGAGTGAGCGAGACGGCTCGTGCCTTGTGGGGAGGAGGTGTCTTGATCAGCCTTCAGAATTAATATACACCCCCTCCCCCAGGCGACCGGCAGCCAACCAGGAAAAATGAGGTCACCATGTTTCCCCCCACCATCCCTGTCAAAAGACAATATACAAGTCACTCTGTCTCCAGATTTGGAGCATGCGTGGCCAACCCGATGCGGCCCCCCCACCACCCCTGCCAAACAATAATACAAAGTACACTTTGGGGCAAAGTCTTGAGTCGAGTTCGAAAGGCCCGCGAGCACTTTGTACTGTTCCCCGTATCCTAAGATGGGGTTCTTGTTATTACTTGGACGCCTCCTACTCCTCCTTCTCCTTCTCCTTCTCCTCCCCTTTCCTCCTCATGCCCAGACTTTCTCATACGCAGACTCACAGACTGACTCACACTCAGACCTACTTATACCAAGATTTACTCACACACAAAAAATACTCTTACTCAGACCTACTCATACACAGACCTGCTCTACTCAGACTTACGCATGGTGCGACTCACGCACGCCCCGTTCGCGGCCGTTTTGAGGGGATGCCTCAAGCGGTTTGCCTGTTTTCTGTCCCAACATCCTTCGCTACCAGAGCAGATTGTGAGGATGTCTCAGGCGGGGCACTGGTTTCAGCTCCCCCTGAAGGGAGCCGCCAGGGGTTATCTCACGGTCCCGTTCGCGGCCGTTTTGTGGGGATGTCTCAAGCGGTTTGCCTGTTCTCTGTCCCAACATCCTTCGCTTTAGGAGCAGATTTGGAGGATGTCTCGAGCGAGGCGCTCATTTTCACCCCCCTAAGGGGAGCCGCCAAGGGTTATTTCACGGTCCCGTTCGCAGCCGTTTTGTGGGGATGCCTCAAGCGGTTTGCTTGTTTTCTGTCCCAACATCCTTCGCTTTCGGAGCAGATTTGGAGGATGTCTCGAGCGAGGCGCTCATGTTTACCCCCCTAGGGGGAGCCGCCAGGGGTTATCCCACGGTCCCGTTCGCGGCCGTTTTGTGGGGATGCCTCAAGCGGTTTGCTTGTTTTCTGTCCCAACATCCTTCGCTTTCGGAGCAGATTTGGAGGATGTCTCGAGCGGGGCGCTCATGTTACCCCCCCTAAGGGGAGCCGCCAGGGGTTATCTCACGGTCCCGTTCGCGGCCGTTTTGTGGGGATGTCTGAAATGATTTGCCTGTGTTCTGTCCCAACATCCTTCGCTTTCGGAGCAGATTTGGAGGATGTCTCGAGCGAGGCGCTCATGTTAACCCCCCTAAGGGGAGCCGCCAGGGGTTATCTCATGGTCCCATTCGCGGCCGTTTTGTGGGGATGCCTCAAGCGGTTTGCCTGTTTTCTGTCCCAACATCCTTCGCTACCAGAGCAGATTGTGAGGATGTCTCGAGCGAGGCGCTCATGTTCACCCCCCTAAGGGGAGCCGCCAGAGGTTATCTCACGGTCCCGTTCGCGGCCGTGTTGTGGGGATGTCTCATGCGGTTTGCCTGTGTTCTGTCCCAACATCCTTCGCTTTCGGAGCAGATTTGGAGGATGTCTCGAGCGAGGCGCTCATTTTCACCCCCCTAAGGGGGGCCGCCAGAGGTTATCTCACGGTCCCGTTCGCGGCCGTTTTGTGGGGATTTCTGAAATGGTTTGCCTGTGTTCTGTCCCAACATCCTTCGCTTTCGGAGCAGATTTGGAGGATGTCTCGAGCGAGGCGCTCATTTTGACCGCCCAGGTGGGCCAGATTTTGAGGATGTCTCGATCGGTGGCCAGACTCGCGGGCACATATTCCCCTCAGGATGCCACAGGAAGCTCCAACAGGCTCCAGGAGGCCTCAGGAGACCACATGAGGTCCCAGGAGGCATCAGGAGACCACAGAAAGACTCAAGAGGCCACATGAGGTCCCAAGACGCTCTAGGAGGCCACAGGAAACTCCGGGAGGCCTCAGGAAGCCACAGGAGGCCCCAGGAGGCCAGAGGAAGCGCCAAGAGGTCTCGGAAGGCAACAGGAGGTCCCGAGAGGCCCCAGGAGCAGGAGGCCTCAGAAGGCAGCAGGAGTGGCTCCAATCCCATGTGTTTTACGTATGAATTCTTGATGTTATACGTATGTTTCTATAGATTGCCCTTCTCCTGTGTACTTATGTTCCTATAGGGCCTCTCCTGGGGCACGAGTCCGTGGTGTTTTACGTGTGTTCCTATAGGTTGCCCCCTTCTCCTGTGGCTCCAATCCAATCCGCAATGTTTTATGTACGTCTGTTGCTATAGATTGGGCCTCTCCTGGGGCACGAATCCTCCCTAGGAGGTCCCAGGAGGCCCCAGGAGACCCCAAGAGGCTCCTGGAGGCACCAGGAAGCCCCAGTAGGTTTCAGGAGGCCCCAGGAGGCCCCAGGAGGACCCAGGCTCATGCGCAGAGACGCGCTCGTACTACTGAGGCTCATTCACACTCCAATTCATTCTCAATTGGAAGCCCGTTTATATTAGCTCACCAGACCGTCACAACTGAAGCCCGTTTATATTAGAAAACTCTTGCGCCTAGGCATTCACGGCGGACAGATCCATGCGAATAGATGCAC